CACTAAGAAAAGTTTTCAAATATTCTACTTTAAAAAAAAAAGCTTGCTTTTATATATATATATATATATAAATATACACACATACATACACACACAAGCTCTTTTTTAAAAGTAGTATATCTGAAAGTATATAGTCTGCCCTGGAAGGCATCAACTGTATGAACTAGCAGGATGACAGCCCCACCAAGGAAGTAAAACCTGATAGAGAAGGGAAGTGACCTTTATTTTGACTTTCTGAAGCCATTTTAGTTTAATCTGTAGGTATGCCTTGCTACATAGAACACTTAAGAGAAAAGCTCAGCCTGCTAAGGAATCAACATCACTAACCCTACAACTAAGTACTGAGAGCACTGAGGGTGGAGTGAACTATACTAACCTGCCAAGGAGGCAACCAACCAACCATAGCAATACCCTCCACCCTGGCATCACAACCCTAATCCTAGCTGAATGAGATGGGGAGGGCCTGGGGAAGGGCAAAGTGAGGGAATAGAGAGTGAGCCCATCCCACACTCACCGCACAGCTGCAGCTCCTGTCCCACCAGATGGGGCCTGGCTTCCCGCTTTCAGCGCTGCAACCCCGTGCACCAGGCTGCAACGCCCAGAGTGGCGTGGGTGCAATTTAACCCATGAATCCATGTTAACACCGTCCCTCAAGAGCACCCATTCAAATCTGTATTATTGAAAACCCTCTCCTGGGGGCACGTCTTCACTACCCGCCGGATCGGCGGGTAGCGATCGATCTATCGGGGATCGATTTATCGCGTCTAGTGTAGACGTGATAAAATTGATCCCCGATCGCTCTGCCGTCGACGCCGGAACTCCACCGCAGCGAGAAGCGGAAGCGGAGTAGGCGGGGGAGCAGCAGCGGTCGACTCGCCGCCATCCTCACAGACAGGTAAGTCAACCTAAAATATGCAACTTCAGCTACGCTATTCGCGTAGCTGAAGTTGCGTATCTTAGGTCAACTTCCCTCCCCTCCCCTCCCCCCCGTAGTGTAGACCTAGCCTTAGGGACAGGATGTAATGTCAGTATATCAGATTGACTTCACTGTAAATACTGTATATACAAATACCACAGAAGGATGGTATTATGGTTAAGGCACTACTCAGGGCCTTGGGAAACCCAGCTTCAATTCCCTACTCAACCACAGACTTCTGGTATGATCTTGGGCAAGTCAGTCTGTCTGTGCCCCAACTCCCTACCCTTAAAGTAGGGACAGCAGTGTTTCTCTACCACACAGGGGTGTTAGGAGGATAAAGTGTGAAGGGCTCAGATTGTAATGTAATGGAGGCAATACAAGTAGCTAAGATGGACAGAAAATCACCTGTGAAATGCTGTTGATTCAACATCCCCGCCAGCTATCCTAGTAGCCACGATCCCTTATGTGCCAACACCACCCATTTTTCAGGCCAAGCTGCCACTTCACATTCTCTTCTGCAACAAGAAATGGAGGAGCTGGGACTGTCTAACCCTGCTGCCACCAGGTCTGTTTTATAGTTTCCATCCCTGAAGCCCTCTATAACTACTTACACCAGCTCCCAGCTGTAAGGGCCAATGGCGAATTTAGCCCTTTCTCTTTCCTACCCCAAACCCAACTTTATTCCAAGCAGTTTGATAATAGTTTATTACTTAAGCTGCCATCATTAAAAGTATGACGTCTGCAATTTCTAACATAGAACCCCTCTTAAAAGAATTAAACATTATGGACAGTAGAAAAGCTACTGCCAGAATAGTAGTAATTTCAATTCGTATCTTCTGGTGAAGTGATGACCCACAGAAGCCACCACAAACCTGCCTAGATAGTTGATATAAATCCCAAAAGCATTTTCTTTTGGCTATTTTAGTTTCTGCCTGAGACGGCAAAGAACAAAACACTAAAGCTTTAGATTTATTATTCTATTTTTATGCATTTTTGTTTATTGTTATTTCAGGTATCGCCACCATGCAACAAGAACCAGAACATACTCAGCTACCAGAATGAATTGATTATAGTGGATATTACTACAGCTGGAGCAAAGATTGTGTCATTAATCTTCACAAAAACCTAGAACTGCCCACAAACCTAACCTCCTGTCCTCTTGGAACTGTTCTCCTTTTAAACACATATGCCCCATCAAATGGGGCTGCGGAAAGGTGCCCAAGTGGGGCTATATCAAACCTGAACAGAGATGTGTTATTAAACCCTTTCATGAAAATTTCCATCAGCAGCACTGTTCACTCTGCTCTTACCCGTTTTACATAATCAGTTGTTTTGGGGGAAAGCCGACTTCTTTGTTATGTTGATAGGTGCATTCCTGGATTAGGGAAGAGAATGGTACATACACATATCCCCAATATTTTGGAGTCTGAAGGATATACTCTTGCTGTGCATGGTATACAGGTAAATGTTGTCAAGGCACTTTGCTTCTCTGTCAGACAGAATGTCAGGTTCTAAACAAGTCTTGTGTTGTTCTTCTCAAATGCTCTTTCACACCTCTGTTTATGTAGTTGTTGTGCGACTCTTCCATTAGCAAATACCAAAAAGTTCACTTACCTCTCTTTATGAGTGTGTGCCAAAAGCTAAGCCGTTCTAGAGATTTATAAATTCCACCTAATCAGTATAGAGTGTCTGGTCTAGTAATGTACATATAGTTGCTGTTTTAAGCTTTTTAATGCTATTCTAAAACCAGCAGGGAGATGGCACGAAATAAAAGGCCTCAAAACACACAACTGATGATTGGACAATAAATGTTTAAAATTTGTCAGTACAATGGGAGTTTTGCATGCATAATCATTAACCATATTTATATTAGCCATATTATATATTACAGGGTCATGTTCTTAAATGGAGGAATATTTAAAAGTAGATTTTTTCAGTGAGAAACTAAAATGATATGACAAGTAACGCAGGACAGCCAAAAAAGGGAGAGGGGGGAAGGAAAATTCTCTTCACAGGTTTTTGGTAAGAATTAGAAATATGAACTCCAGTGTGGATCTGACTGGTTTACTAATCCGGTCCATTTTTAATTGTCATCTGTGGGAAATCCTGATCTGATAGATTCTTTCCAATAAACTGAAACCTTTTAAACTCAGTATCCCTTTAAACTGCTACTTTTGCAGTTATGAACTAAATTTATCTTAAAAGTTCATAACAGTAAAAAAAGAAAATTATATAGGAAGGACATCGTCAGGTTTAAAAAATAAAAACTAAAACTAAAACAAGCAAGTGTCCTTATGCTACTAAGAGTAACTTTGAATGTTAAGAATCTAGCTTACTTTGTATTATTTGCACTATCACTGTGCTTTACTTTCTGCATCTTTCAGAGCCTGAACAACGAAAACAGATTAATCAATTTTACTCTCAGATTCTAATGCACTAGCAGAATGTTCTACAATATTTGTTTTGCCAAGACTGCAGGGAAATTTGTCTTTCAAAAAAAATTCCATTGGAAAGTAAAGGAAGAAACCATTCCTATTCTGGCCAGAGTCAAGGACAAGGTACCTACCAGGCCCATCTTAAAGAATAAAAAACAGGAAGGGGGGGGGGTAGGGTGCACATGCACACACGTATGTCTGTTTTGGTCACTTTTCTCAAAAGTTACTTTAAACTCAGTCCTCATAACTCCCATATGTACATGACTGTTTCTGGACAGAGAAAAATTTCACCAACGGAGTTGCGAACACCAGAAGAGAGAGGTTTATACTTTTAATGAAAATGCTGACAATTTTAACTACAGCTTCGAATGAGATATTTTACAAGGACATTAGCGAGGTATTTTATTATTTGCAATAAAGCTATGCAGGTTCCGATCAAGAGAATTAGAACCTCTTCTGTTAAGCAGTCCCAGCATCCTTTGCCACACAACTGGTAAAAATCCCATATGAGGGTAAAAAAGGGGAAAGGATTAAGCATTATTTACAGAAACTTAGAGCAAGAGCTTCAGCAACATAACAACAAAAAAGGTGATATATATATACACACACACACACACACACACACACACACACATATATATATACAGAACGAATTCCACTAGGAGATCTTTCCCCAAACCCTGTCTGTGAGACAGAGATACCTTGGCAGGGGAGGAGCTCCTTCGGGAGAGAAATCCATAGATGCTGACTGCTACCCCTTAACGTTTACTAAAGCTGGGCTATTATTACTCACACATGAGCTGCAGCTGTCAACTCTCCAAAGCCCTGATGCGACCCACCACAGGAGAGAGACTAGAGTAAAAAGAAGTTGCAGTTGAGTCACTGGCTGCTGTGCACGGCCCTCTGGAGCCTCTTCAAATCCAGACGCACTGCGGTGGGGGGAAAAAACCTAACTTTCTGCTAAAGGAAACGCGCTATCAGCAGCTTCTGGTGGGAGGGGAGCAGAGAGAAATCTCCCCCTGCTCCAGAGAGCAGAAAGCCCAACGCGGCGACCCACACCGCCTACAAACTCTTCCCGCTCCTTAAGGAAACTTGTTCCTCCACCGCTCCGCAGAGAGGAGGCCTCCCACTCACTCAGTGGAGGCAGAGCCCCGAGCGCTGGAAATCACAGGCTGAATCACAATAAAGGAGAGCGGCTATGAAAGCCTTGCCTGCTACCACTGCCTCCCTCCCGCCACACGCTGTCCCGTCCCTCCCTCCCGGTCTCTCCAAACTTCAGGGCTCCAGGAGCACGGGAGGAGAGACGGGTCCAGCCTGGAGAGCTCCCCTGCCTCTGCCTCGCCCATTCATTCCCTCCATCCCTCCTTCCAGCGAGCGTGCATTTCTCCCCTCCATAGGCACCGCATTCCTGCCCCACTTTTCCTAGAGACCCCAGGAGCAGGCTCCCCACTTCGCCTCCTCCTTCCCCTCCCTGTTCTCTCGGGGCTGAGCCATGCACACAATGCCCCTATTCATAGCCTCCTCCCCAGCCACGCTGCTCCCTAAATTCCCAATAACAAAAGGAAGGGGTGGGAACAGGACACAATAAAAAAAAAAAAAGAGAGCGCGCTGGATAAATAGATGCCAACTTCTGCGAGGACACTCACCCCATGGAGGCTCCTTGCCCTGCTGCCGCCGGCGGCTCCGGAGCTGCACACGCTCAGCGCCCGACACGCTGGCCGGGGAGAGGAAAGCGGAGCAGCAGCTGCCCTGGGAAAGTTTCCTGCTGGTGGTGGTCAGCGCGAGCCACACACACGGAGCGAGCGCCCAGCTCCCAACGTTCCGACTGCTCGGGGAGGGGCGGGAGGAGGAGGGAGGGGAATTACATCACTCTGAGCCCACGTGACCGTAGCGTTCCTGCCCCCGTTGAGGTGGGGGGGGGGACACAGCTCGGCGCCGGGCTGGGGCTTGAGCCCGACATTCTGTGAGTCACGTGGCAGGCGGGGATGCTCCCCTCCGAGCCGGTGCTGCCGCAGGTCGCTGCTCTGTAGCGCCCCCAGCGGTGGCGGCGGCTGCAGTGCCCATCCCCACCCGCTCACTACCCGGGAAAAGCCAGGGCGTGCGTCCAGGGGTCTGGGGGGGAGAGGCAGGGGGCGGATGAAGGAAGGGGGCAGGCAGGGCTTCCCGGGGGGGGGCAAGTGGGGCAATTTGCCCCGGGCCCCACAGGGGCCCCCACGAGAATATAGTATTCTATAGTATTGCAACTTTTTTTGCAAGGGGCCCTGAAATTGCTTTGCCCCAGGCCCCCTGAATCCTCTGTGCAGCCCTGGGGGCAGGAGGTAGAAAGAGATGGGAAGGATGGGGGGAAAGGAAGGAGCGGGGAGACTGGGTGGGCAGTTTGTGTGGGGGGGGGACGTGTGCTGAGAGCCATTGAATCAACCTGTAAACGCTGTATGTGAGGGGAACCATTTCAAGCCAGCACCCCTAGTTCCAGCTCGTGTGTGAGTGTGGTTCAGCAAGGGGAGCGGGGTGAGACCCAGAGAGGTGGGTGGCGTAGGGAAGGGTTAGACCTGGAGGGGCTGGATGGAGCTGGGAGGAGCCAAACCCTTCCACCTTCCTGGCTTGTGGCTCCAGGTTAGACCAGCCCAAGGATGGGCACAAGGAGGGACCAGAGCCACTGGACGTGGAAGATGAGCCACTGAGGACAGCCCCAGCCACATCATGAGGCACTTTGCTGATGAAAAATGCCTACCCTGCTTTCCCTCTCTAGCTGTGCCTGGCACTTCCCAGAAGCCTCTCATTGGCAGCAGCCCTCGGACCCTTTCTACCACTTAGATTGTAAACTCTTTGGGACAGAGACTAGGGCAGGGGTTCTCAAACTGGGAGTCAGGACCCCTGAGGGGGTCGCGAGGTTATTACATGGGGGGTCACGAGCTGTCAGCCTCCACCCCAAATCCCGCTTTGCCTCCAGCATTTATAATGGTGTTAAATATATTTAAAAGTGTTTTTAATTTATAAGGGTGGGTCGCACTCAGAGGCTTGCTGTGTGAAAGAGGTCACCAGTAAAAAAGTTTGAGAGCCACTGGACTAGGGTGACCAGATAGCAAGTGTGAAAAATCAGGATGGGGATGGGTGGGCAATAGGCACCGATTTTATAGGGACAGTCCTGATATTTGGGGCTTTTTCTTATATAGGCTCCTATTACCCCCGCACCTCCTGTCCTATTTTTCACACTTGCTGTCTGGTCTCCCTACTAATGGCTGTCATTGACTGGTTATTTGATCTATAGACCAGCGGTTCTCAGCCAGGGGTACACATACCTGTTGGGGTATGCAGAGGTCTTCCAGGGGGTACATCAACTCATCTGGATATTTGCCTAGTTTTATAATGGGCTACATAAAAAGCCATAGCAAAGTCAGTACAAACTAAAATTTCATGCAATTATTTGTTTATACTGCTCTTTATACTATATTCTGAAATGTAAGTACAATATTTATATTCCAACTGATTTATTTATAATTATATGGTAAAAATGAGAAAGTAAGCAATTCTTCTGTAATAGTGTGCTGTGACACTTTTGTATTTTTACATCTGATTTTGTAAGCAAGTACTTTTTAAGTGAGGTGAAACTTGGGGTATGCAAGACAAAACTGACTCCTGAATGGGGTACAGTAGTCTGGAAAGGTTGAGAGCCACCATTATAGACAATTGCAGAGGTAGTGGAAGCGGCTGGCTGTTTGCCCAACTTTCCCTACTTCTGATTTTCACCAAAATCAACAGGTTTCTTCCCACTGATGCCTAAAACATTCCCTGAAATGTTGGAATTGATCTGATGTGGTGAGAAATGCCATCAAGTTGGGTGTAGGGCCTTGCTTCACTTGGCCAAAAATACTACATATATCCCATATAATATTCCATATTATTGGGGACCATCCCGATATGAAGGGCTTTGTCTTATATAGGACCCTATTACACCCCCACCCTGCCCCATACCGATTTTTCACACTTGCTATCTGGTCACCCTACATATATGCAACGTGGCTGACTTAACAATGGTTTAGGAATCTTGTGCCTGATTTGTGGAACAATCTAATGCCAGTGAAACTCCAGTGTAACCCATGTTACCCTAGCATAAAAGTGGTGTAATAAAGTGGAGAATCAGGCCTCTTAAGTTTTGAATTTTTGGACTATAGTTAATTTACACTCTCAATCGTAATGCTAATTGTTATAAGGTTGAGTTTTGGGGGGCATGTGAAGCAGTAGCATGTCATACATTTAGTCTCCAACAAATTCTGGCTCCATTATTGTATAATTTTCAACCTTTGGTGAATATAATACTAATTAGATCAGGGTGAAATACTGTTCATCGTCTCAAAAATTTGTAGTTGAGGATAACTCTCTTTAAAACTTTGTTCCCACGGTTTGTATAAAATTGTAAAATCATCTTAATTTGTTTTATAGAGCCTGACTGCACTCTAGGTTAGATTTATTTTATGCAAAACAGTGCTTTCATCTATTCCTCTGCAAGTTCCCCTTTGGGTGCCCAAAAAATAGTTGCTGCCACTTTTTGAACCTCATTCTGTTAAAAATCATCCTCTTCTTTCATTTAAAAAAAGAACCACTAAGGGGTTATATCCAGGTTCCCATGCCCCTCTCTAGGAATCAGACCGTGCTCATGGGAGTTACCATCCCTCCCAGGCTGCAGAGAGATAGCAGAATTATTTTTGGTTGCTACTGGAGTGCCCACTCCTCCCCTCCCCCCGTACATACACACACAGGGGCTTTTGGCATTCAAACTGTGTAGTCATGGATCCCATAGTCATGTCCCCAGTTCAAGACCCTCCTTTGTACTGCTGCATATGAAGGGGGCAGAGCATGAAGTTGCAAATCAGGAAACCTAGATCTTATTCTTGGGTCTGTCTCTGACCCGCTATGGGATCTTGGGCAAGTCACTTCAGCTGTCAGTGCCTCAGTTTTCCCATCTGTAAAATAAAAGAAATGATATTAACCTTCCTTTATAAAGCCCTTTGAGATCTATGGATTATAAGCACTATAGAAGAGCTAATAGTAATTGTTATAGCGAGTAGGTAGATTCTAGTCTACCAGCATGAAGGAGCCACAAAGCTGATATATACCTGTGATGTGGAGTGCACCCCACACAAGGCCTGAAGATGGCTAGGTGGGCTGATTAACTGCCTAAGCTGCACCTGGAAGAAGAGACAAGGAGCAAGGACTAATTAGAGATGAAGCTCAGCTGGACAGGAAAAGGAGGGGCCTGTATAAGGCCCAGTAGCAGAGCGTATAAGAGGGTAGTAGGGTGAAAAATAGTAGTCACACTCAGAGTGAGAGAGGGTAAGGTAGGAAATAGCGCAGGGACACAGCAGTAATGTTCAGTACTGTGTAGACCTTGACTGCTTGTTGTAGAGTCCCTGGGCTAGAACCCAGTATAGAGGGTGGGCCTGGGTTCCCCTACCAGCCACTGGGAAAGTAGCAATAATATTAAGGGGCAGTGAAATGGAAGACTGCTTAAGACAGGGAATCCCAAAAGACTTTGATACATGCACCCCTTCCCCTCCCCAAAGGGGAAAATTACAGTGATTAGACCAGAGGGCCAAGCTGTGACATGGGAGCAGCTGAGTCCTGAGAGAGACTGCGTGATGGAGTACAACTGCAGGAAGGGGTGTTGGCCTGGCAGAGCTAATCCCCAGATGCATCCCCAAGGAGGTGCTTCAGCAGTTTAAGTAGAGAACCCTGTGACAATACCCTTTGCATAGGTAGCTTCCTTTAGCAGTATAGGGCTGTATGACATCCCTCCTCTCAGCCCTTTGCACAGGGGGCATGCTAGGGGGATGGTAAAGGAAGAGGACATTCTCTTGCACTCTCAGGTCCTGTAGAGGCCATTGTGGGGTCATTGCAGCTAAGTATAAGTTAGAGCACCCCTGAGGTTGCTGTAAATTATGCTAGAACCACACAGGCCCCAAGAACAGGGAGATGTGGATGGGTGACTTGCATTATGTTGACAGGTTATTCTAACTAGCCTTTTGTGGTGTTTAGGGTTTTTTTTTGCAGCTTCTGCCTTGGATTCTATTTCACATTACAGACGCTCTCCGGGTTACGCAAGACCCAATTTACACAAATTCGCATTTACTGAAAAAGTTCCATAAGCCAGAAATAGGATTTTCGAGTTGCGGAAATTTTTGCATAACATATGGGTATACGTTTCCGAGTTACGCAAAATTCAAGTTACGCAAGGTTTTCGGAATGGAACAATTGCATAAGTCGGGAGGTGTCTGTACACAAAAAGCAGATTGTGTCTGCTCCCAGAGACTGTGTGCAAAGTAAAGCAGAATCTTGCACTTCTTAATCTTCCCGTAGTTCAAGATCCTTAAACTTTGTTTCATAGACCAAAACACCCCTACATCATTCTACTGCACTCCCACTTTCTTGTTGGACCAGTTCAGGTTTTATTATTTCACGTCTGAATAGTTTGTTTTGCTAATCCTGAGCTATTGTTGCTCCTACAGGAGCCTTTAAAGGAAGATTGCTTTCAGATTTAGTGACTTCTTGTTTGTTCTTGTTTTGTTCCATTGTTCTGTATTTACAACAAATGATTTTTTACCCTTTGTCACAGATGTCTCCGACAAGTGAGCTTGGGAGGGTTACAGCACATGTATTTTTATATCTGCTCCCATCACAGCTTTTTCTTTTTCTTTTTTAAATAACTCAGAGTGGAGTTACCCAGTATTCCTCCTGTGGCTCTGTTTACAATGTAGAATGTTCAAGGTGCCAGATTAGACTACTTATCCCTTATTATTTATACTAC